AATATTTCAGGATCCAAAGAATTGTACAATAGCTCAGTACTAGAAAAAGGCTATGGTGATGTTTTAAGAATACCAATTCTCCTATGTATGAGAACCGGGACGGCATACATATGCAAATTAGAATTCGTCAGCCATCCAGTACACAACACCGATACACAATAAAAAAGTAATGTGGCGCATCCTGATTCGTCTATAAACGTGTCTGATGTCCATACAGAATAATTTTTTCAATAGTTGGGATGGCATAATGCTACTACAATGGTTATGAACTTATGATTATACTATTTATATTTAAATCCAAGTCTCCAAGTGTTTAAGTTTCCATAACTCTTGTAGTTATTCAGTGCTTGCCAAATTATATTGTTGGAATTTGTTGTTGGATTCTATTGTGCTCGTACTAAATTAATTTTCTTATCTTTTTGTTGACAGGCCGGTTTGCCGGACAGACCGGTTCGTCAGTCAAATCAGAGGTTTGAACCGGTTTAGATTGGTTCCTTGTGAAATCGATTTTGAGAATGAATCAGACTGTTTGGCAGATCAATTCACGGTTCAACCTATTGAACTGACCTATCATATCCGATTTTTAAAATATTGATTATTATTGGATTCTTATTGCATTGTTTTCCTTTTTATTTTCATGTTAACTTGTTGTGCTCTTACTGTTGCTGCCTTGCTGGTGTTCAGCTTGTTTTTTGGACACTTGTTTTATTGTTCAATTGTTCCTATTGAGAGGAAGTAAATGTTGCTTGTTGGATAGTTGCTTTAATGGTTATTTAAGGTCAACTTTGGCTTTATTTGAGATCATTTCTTACTATTTTTTAAAATAATTTTTAGTTAAAAAAATTTTAGTTCAAAATAATTTTCTTACTGATTTTCAAAGTGTGTAATAATCATAAATTGGATTATTTCTCATTTTTTTAACAATTTATTAAATCTTTGGGTTCATTTGGGACAGCTTCTTACTGCTTTTTAATGTAGTTTTTGGATATAAATTTTTTTCCAACTAAATTTTTTTTTTACTAAAAAAGTTGTTTAGAAAGCATTGAAAAAGCTATGAATCTTTATTTCAGATAAATAATTCTGATTTTGTAAATATGGTTCATGTTTGGTTTGCATAAAGAGGTCTAGAGAAGCATGTCTACTGAGATTGGACAATTAAAGAATAGAGTTGTAGATTAAAGTGTTCAGATTTTATATAAATTAGGTTGTAGTTTGTAATATATTTATTATTTGGATTTTTGAATTGATTGTAATAAATTTATTTGTTGGGTTGTAAATCATCATTTGAAATTAGGGCTTCTTTGGGACAGTTTTCTTACTGGTTCTTAAAGTAAATTTTTAGTACTGATATATCGTCAAAAAATATCTTGATCGAGCATGAATCTTGAGGCAAAAGTCAAGTTGAAAACTTCAAAAATTAAATATGGGATCATCTGAACTCCGATTTTAGCAAACTTATAGTCAAACTGAGCGTCTCGGAAATATGAACCCAACAACACCAAATTCGACTCAATTCGAGCCCAAATGAGTCCAAATCAAGGACTCGAAGCGCTGTTGGAACGTTTGAACCATAATTTGAGTTACCAAACGGTTTCAAAACATCGAGTTCTTATAGTCGAATCGAGCGGCTCGATGAGAAAAATATAACGAGCCCAAGATTGCCAAATTTTGATATCATTAAAACCTTCAAATGTCAAATGAACGGTCCACAATCAAGGGATTCAATATCAGATGTCCGTCCATTCCACTTCACCTTTGCCCTTGATCCTCCTCCTATTTACGAGTCATGCAATCCTAAAAAAACTATAAATAGCCCATCATTTCTCTTGAGAGGAGGCAAGCAAGAAGGAGAAGAGAAGGGAAGGAGGATAGGAGGGAAGAAACTCCTTCTCGACCACCGCCACCGGAATTTTTCCCAAGTGAGGCCGGAATTTTGCCCGACTTCCATGAGACGCCAGAATTCTGCCCAAATGACGCCAAAATTCTGCCCGACTTCCAAATGAAGCCGGAATTCCGCTCGACCTTCCAAGTGATGTTGAAATTCTGCCCGACCTTCAAGTGACGCCGGAACTTCACCCGACCTCCAAGTGATGTTGGGGTTTCTCCTCGGCCGCTAACTGACGTCGGACTTCTACCCGACATCAGACCTCCACTCGTCGCCAGATTTCTACCCGACGCCAGACTTCTGTCCGTCGTCAGATTTTCGTCTATCCAATGTTGGATTTTTGTCCATTATTGGACTTCTACATGACACGGTCCTTCCGACCTCCGTCACCAGACAATGATTTTTATAACCTTCGACGCCCGCTGACTACGGTTCTTCTGACTTACGTTGCCCGTCGACTACAATCCTTCCAATCTCTGTCGCCCGCCGACTACGGGTCCTGCTGACTTACATCACCCACTGACTACAAATCCTTCTGACTTTTATCGCCCGCCGACTACGGTCCTGCCGACTTACGTCGCCCACCGACTACAGCCCTTTCAACCTATGTCGCCCGCCGACTAGGCCTTGTCGACTTACGTCGCCCACCGACTATAGTCCTTTCAACCTATGTCGCCCGCCGAGTTACATCGCCCACCAACTACGATCCTACCGACCTCCGTCGCCTACCGAATACGGTCCTTTCAACTTACGCCGCCCATAGACTACGGTCCTTCCGACCAAACGAACACGTCAAACAATGACTCTTTGTATTCTCACTATGTAGTGTACTATATAAGATGTAAATCAAGCTAAGGTCTTCTCCCAAAGAAGGGCATCATTTGTAATCAACTGCAAATACTAGTGGATTCATTCAAACTGGGCTAGGCCCCGTGGTTTTTTCCCCTTTTTAGGGGTTTTCCACATAAAAATATTGGTGTCTCATATAAATGATACACTCTCTCTTATTTGATTGCGTGCCGGATTTTCGTACAATGCTAAGATGTTAAACTTTATATTTCTCTACCGCCACGAATACTCATGGACGCAACCTGTACAAAGATTATAATTTTTATACTAAAAGCTACTTTAAGAAACAGTAAAAAATTCGTCCCAAAATAAAGCCTTGGTATTGTAACCAGAAATGTCTATTTTTTACTATTTCTTAAAGTAGCTTTTAGTATAAATTTACTTACTCGTGACATTGCTAACTGTAGCCTAAGTTTACTTACTCGTGAATGCAATAGCCTAGAATCAATAGTAGATTGACTCGATTACATTGCTAACACAATGTGCATTAATTATTCTGTGTGGATGTCGAACGCCGTCTGGAGACCAACCAGAATGTGTCATGTCACCCTTTCGCTCGGTACTGCTCGATATCGCAGATGTGACGCATTATGATTGGTCTAAGGATGACATTCTACATCTGATCTCCATACAATAATTTCTCATAAATTTGAGTTGACCAAATAGCCCAACTGACTCAATGGCGCTACTAATATAATAAACATGGGTAGACCAAACAGACCAAATGGATCAAAGCCCAAATTAGAGCTGAAATTTTTGTTCTAACATGAGTGTGTCATCCTCACATTTCACCAACTATAATGTTTTTTTTTTAATTAAAATAGCTAAAATTATATTTTAAATATATATACGTGAGTTAAACTATGGGTTTATTTGGGATAGCTTTTTTACTATTTTTTAAATTAATTTTTTAATATAAAAATTTTTGAAATAAATTTTTGATATTAAAAAACTGCTTTAGAAAGTAATAAGAAAGTTGTCTAAAATTAAGTCTAAAATTTATTCACATATATTTATTTCTATGATATTCACCAAAAGAAATTGTTGGACCATGCAAAATATATAAACTTTGTTTCATAAAATCAAAATCATCAATAAAAACTAGTATTTGCATTTGATGATCAGAAAAACTGCTTAATTATTGCCTTATTTTTTTTCTTTTTGATCATATCAATTGCTTGGCTTTTTCTTTTGGGGGTCCTAATCACACTACTCTATATAACTGTTCTTTCCTACATGAAGCTTACCATTCGTCCAGACGAGCAAAAGAAAAGCTAGAACAGACGGATGGCCGAGAAAGCTGAGGAGATCGCCGGCGGCGACGCAGAAAAGAAGGTAATGTTGGTGGGGTTCGACGATAGCGGGGCAAGAAAAATGATTATCCAGTCGACTCTCGACTGAATTATAAATTGATGCCTAAATGAGATGAGCTCGAGTTAGCTCGATGTATGAGTGGCTTGTTTCATTCATCAGATTAGAATCCAATGGTTGATAGTTCACTAAGATATTAAGCTAACATTTTAGATATATATATAAAATAATTATATTTATATATATAATACCAAAATTTTATATTTATTTATATAATATTTTAGTGCTTAAAGATGTATTTCATTTAAAAAAAATGAATATGATGATATTTTTTATGATATATAAAGATTTAGATTCTATTTTAATAAAAATCGATATTTAAGTGTTACATATATAAATTCATAATAATTTTATAATATGCATATAAACACCATATTAATATATTTAGGGGATGCTTAATCAAAAAATTTATTGATGGGAGTTTTATCTATCAAACCCACTAAAGTGATTTGTTGTTGCCCTATTCAGACAATATGATTTTTTTTTTAATACTTAAAATAAGATTTAAATATAATTTTTAAATTTTTTATTATTAGAAGAAGAAATCAAAACCAAAATACTAAGGCTTAGTTTGGAACTGTTTTTTACTTCTTTTTACGCTAATTTTTTTAGCATAAAATTTTGTTGAAAGCACTGGCTAAAAACTATCCCAAAAGAAGCGTGGAACAACTCTTATCTGCTTTCTAAAATAATTTTTAGTACAAAAATATTTTAAAAACATTGAAAAAATAATGATCAGAAGTTGTCGGCTTTGCTTGGGATGACTTTCTTGCCACTTTTTAATTAAAAAATCACTTAAAAATAGAGAAAAATGGTGATCTAAAACTATCTCGAAACGAAGCCTAAATCACGATTAGATTTCAACAAAACAAAGCGACTTTTAATTTTGATTTTTTCTTTTTCCTGAAATGAAAATTTTATATTTAAGAGGATTTTTTTTTTGTGTGCATGAATGCAGGAGCTGCTGCTGTTCTTCCCAAAGTAGAATCAGAATTAATGAGAATTTCCAATGAAGTGATTGACAAGGCTAAGGAGATCTGTGTTGCTAATTCGGTAAGTCTATGAATTTCTTAAGTTCATCATGTTTAGTATATTATGATGAATTGATAAATCTCTTTAAGCAGATCTGAATATGCTCAACTACATAGTTAATAATATGGTGCTTACTTTGCTAATATAATATAAGCAAGGAGTTGTTAATGAATAGTTAATGCATGGGAAAGGTGCTAAAATATATTTATATATGCTTTTGTTATCTATGTAATTAAGTGATTCTAATCAAGTGTTTCATAAAGCATTTTTGTGCAATAGGGTAGTCGGTTGATTTAGACATTCAGTTTATAGGCGGGCGATAATAGTAGTGGTCATTGGAGTGGCGGACGATGGCGGCAGTAGCAAACCTGGTAGTAGTTGTCAATAATTACAAGCGATGGACGGTAGCGATGGCTGGTAGAGGTGCAAGCAATGACAGGACGCGGCTGGTGACGGCAACTCACTAGCCAAGTTGATTTTCATTTTCAAAAAATGAAAAAAAAAAAAAAAAAAAAAAAAACATATGAAAAAACACCTAAAAGTTACTTTAAGGGGTTGTTTGGTAGCACCCAAGATTTGACTTAAGTAGGATTTCATAAATCTGCTAAATTCGGATTTTAGAAATCCTGAGGGGCCTAAATCCTGAAAACTGTTTGGTAACATTCATGATAAATCCTATTAAATCCCGTGTAACAGTTTGACTATAGAACGGATTTGATGAGCAGACCCTTCCTCTCCAGCTAACGGATTTCGTAAATCCGGCAAAAAGCAGGATTTCGGAAATCCATGATTTAGCGCGAAAAGGCAGAATTTTTCGTCTACGGCGGCTTTCATTTGCTGCGATATTTGGTTTTGCATTTTAGGCCATTTGGCTGGTTTTCTCTCAAATCCGTCTCAGATCCAGCCTAAATCCTGCAACCAAAAAGCCCCCAAGTGTTTCTGAAAGAAAGAAATATTTTTTTTTCTAAAATAAAACAATATTAGTTTAAAAACACAAACTAAACATGTTTTTAAAGACATAAAACTTTCCCAAAATGATTTATTAGCAATACATTTAATGACTCAATAAGCACTCAACAAAAATCAATAGAAAATGAGAATTGATAAAGTTAATTACAATTAATTGAGACAAAGATAATAATGATGATGATGTAGATTTGCAAAGGATTAGCCAATCTTACGCTATTTTGTAGTCATTGCTCATTCATGGGTTTCTAAATATTATGATTACTCAAATTAACGCTTCGTTTGGGATGACTATCTTATCTCTTTCAAAAACATTTTTTTTAAAAAAAATTGATTAAAAACAGTGAAAACTCAATAGTAAAAAACTGTCCAAAATGAAACCTGAAACTTTGAATCTAAGGGCGCAATAGGTTCTAAAATTTGGTTCATATGCATAAGATACTAGCAACAGATTATATGGATTGTTCTATAAATTATTCTTTGTTTGCAATCAGATTATTGTTTAGGGTTTAGATTTTAAGGTTTAGAATTTATTATTTAGGGTTTAGAATTTAGTAGTGATAATTTAATATAGTTAAGTTGGTACAGTGAAAATATGGAGAGAAGTTTGAAGTGAGAAATAGTTTTACTTAGCGTTCATTTGATTGCTTGAAATTAGAAAACATGATTTAAAAAATGATGAAAGTGCTAATTGTATTATTAGAATGAATGTAGTTAGAAATCAACATTAATTTTAAACCCTACAAAAGCCTTCAAATTCTCTAATTATTGATTCTTACTGCTTCTTAAAACAACTTTTTAATTTTTGTATTAAAAAACTGCTTTAAGAAGTATAAGAAAACTACCTCAAACGAAGGCTAAGACTTCGTTTGGGACGGATTTCTTACTGCTTCTTAAGGCGGCTTTCTAGTGCAAAAATTTTAACTTTTTAACTAGAAAGCCGTTTTAAGAAGCAGGAAGAAAGCCGTCCCAAACGAAGCCTAAGACTTTGTTTGGGACGGCTTTCTTACTGCTTCTAAAAGCTGCTTTTCAATACAAAATTAAAAATTTTGTACTAAAAAGTTGTTTTAAGAAGCAGCAAGAAAGTCATCCCAAACAAAGCTTAAGTGTGACAAAGGGAAGAGAGTGAATTCCTTCTTAGATGATCTGTTCTCCTTTTGGTAAAAATTGAATGATGAGACAGCTCTGTTTGATATTGATGCATATATATTTAGCATGTTTATGTGGAGATGTATATGCATACATGGAATGTATATGTATGTATGGTTGCCTGTTTATGTATGTAGATGGATAGAAAGATAAATAGGTAATTTAGATGGCACATGAAGACTTCTTTTTCGCTTTGAGCTCAGCAACAAAACATTCATAATACAGAATGCCTATGTCAGTGTTATTTGTGTTATTAAAGCCATTAATTTTCTTTCATTACTAACTCTGTCAATGTATTGATCATGAAAAGGTGATTGATGTTGCTTACGAGGTAGTGCAAGGGGATCCAAGGAATGTTCTCTGTGATGCTGTGGAAAGATATCATGCAGATGTGCTTGTTGTGGGAAGCCATGGCTATGGAGTTGTAAAAAGGTATAAAAGTTCTTATGCAAATATTTACTACAAAACAATAACAACAACAACATCAAATCTTTGTCCCATTACGTTGGGTCAGCTACATGAATTCTTTTTCGTCATTGTGTCATGTTAAAAACCAAATTCTCATTTAAATCTAATAGAAAAAGATCATTTCTATATTTTCTAACCAAGTCTTTTTATGTCTACCTCTACCTTTCTTAAAATAAGTCAAATTTAATACCTCAACTTTTCTAACCGGGTCATCGGAAGACCTCCGTTTAATGTGACCAAACCATCTAAGGCGACTCTCTCTAATCTTATCTTCCACTGTAGCTGCTCCAACCTTTTCATGTATATGCACATTTCGTATCCTGTATCTAAGGGTAAAGCCGCTCATCCACCTAAGCATCCTCATCTCTGCAACACTTAGCTTAGCATTACGCTTCTCTTTTGAAGACCAACATTCAGCACCATAAAGCATTGCAGGTCTCACCACCATCTTATAAAATTTTCCCTTAAGTTTGACGGGGACTTTTCTATCGCACAAGAAGCCCGATGCAAATCTTTACTACAAAACCATGAAGAAAAAACTTGGATTCTATCACTCATTTGATACATCAACGCAAAATTTTCAAGTATCAAAGAATTAATATGTTAACATCATGGAATGAGCCTTGAAGCTGACCTCATTTGACTTGACTAATTCATCTTGTATGGCAACTCTGGCATTTCTGTACAGGACTGTGCTAGGAAGTGTGAGCGACTACTGTGCTCACCATGCACACTGCACTGTGATGATAATGAAGAAACCCAAGCACAAGAACTGATCTTTTTCATAGTGATGATGAACTGAGTTCCTACAATTTTAACTGATTGTTCTACTTGAAGAATACTTGAAGAATATAGAAACTATCTTGTTTTCAAATAATGTAAATCTAGTTTCTCCAGTATCTTATGTTATATCAAAATAATATGAAATGCTTGGATTTATCCAAGCATTTCTGCATGGAATGTTTAGGGTATGTTTGTTACTTAAATTTTAGTTGTGTTTAAGTTGTTTTCATTGTGCTATGTGAAATAAAATCATCATAATGCTTCATAATTTAATTCTTATATGCTCATTAAGTAAAGATTATGTGCCAGTGATATGTAGGTACCAAAATGATAAAATTTTAAGCATACTTTTAGCAAAAATTATAGCTTTTCGAAAAAAAATAAAGTTGAAGAAAGAAAGAATCAAATGCTGATAGCAAACTTTTTTTTTTTTTTTCCGAAAAAAGAGTAGGTTATCATGTTGACAAAGTTAACTCCATCTGAAAGTAGTAATAGGATTGCTTTTGAGAAATCTGAATAAAGGGAAATAAGGGAGAAGAACCATCAACATCAAGTCAGCACCCATTATAAAAAACCTTTGAAACCCTTCCACTATTTAAAATTTGTAATAAAAAGTAAGATCTTTCGCCATTATCAAAAGCATGTTGTATATAGTCATGTGTGGGCTCCGAAACGCTCCCCGGATTCCTTCTTTTGGGGGAGTGTTAACGAATTAAGTTCCAGGATAAATTTTCAGAAGATAGATTGGACTTGAAATAAGACGCTGCCAAGAGATTTCATCCTCATTTTGCGAGGATTTTATGATCTGAGTTTTGGTTTCCTAATAGACGCAAGCCCCTATAGTTAATCACCCCTCTCGATAACGAGAGATAACTTTCGAGTAAGGCTAATCGTCAAACATATACGTAGAGAAACACTGTATCTGGTGTATAGTAGCAGCATGGGTTGATATTTGAAATTTTGAAATTTTACCATCTTGCACTTAAAACAGATGGTGGGGGAATGATGATGGACCCGATCAAAATCTCATGATTCTGTCATCCCGGGTCATCATGGTCCCTAGTCTACTTAGTCAGAGGAGGTAGTTGAACCAACCTGATCGGAGGATCCTTGTCAGCAGCCATAAATTGTTTCATCCAAGGGTACCTTGTATACATGGGGTGAATATTTATCTACGAAGATAAATTTGAATCCACCTTAGCTAACATAAGGTTTTGTGCCCTGTCGATTATATCCTATTGATTAATATCTCAAGGATTTAGTAATTAGTATCATTGGGGAGCATGCAGGATCTAGCCATGACCGTAATTAGTGACATCATTTAGCAGCAAACCACCCGATTCAAAGGGCCTTAGTCATAACCGATTACTTGCGGTGCCATTTGATGGCAAAACCACCGGTTAGAGGACATTTGCCACATCCTTGCTATCAGGAGACTATTTGAGAATGAATACTAGTGATATCCTCGATCAGATATTACTCTTTGTGAGCTGAAGTGATATTTAAATTTGTCCATTTCAACAAACTATCGCGGAGGGTAGATGATGCTTTAAGTATTTGATAGTTGAATTAGTTGAATTTTGATTTTAATTATAATGAATTTTAGAATTTTGAATCTTCATAGGTATTTGGGAAGCATTTTAAGTGTTTGAGGACCCCTCCAACTGAGATCTACGTTCAACACGGCCATCATCGAGGTATTTATGGGTTATTTCATTCATGGATTGAACTCTGTCGACTCTATCGATTTGCTGACATATGATCGAGTTCATAGTAGGCTTGTACTTTTATTGGTAAATTTCCATTTATTATAGGTCTTAATATGGATGTATTAAAACAAATATCTCAGTCGACGCCACGATCGTGTACTTGTTTGATAGTTTGAGCCGTGTTGCCTCCTATCTACTCAAATAGAAGGATCGGGCTCGAACTTGGGTTTATCATTTGACCCGCGCATGATAGTGGCCGCTTCTCTTTGTTTTGGAAACCCTGGTGTGCTGGAAAAGGATTAGTTGGGCTATACCCTGAGTAATATGCTAACATTAACTCTCATTTGGAAGTCTTTCTTTCTAAATTTATTGGAAATGGTAAGTTGGTGAACTTGGATGGCTTTCCAGCTCACGTCTAATGCTATAAAGGAGGTGAAAATCTTTGTTGATATTCAAATGATGGCATTTTTTGGCTTGGTCTCTCTAAACCAAGGCTCAAAAATTTCATCTGAGTTTTATTATAACTCTGAATCGGTTAATTGGAGGTATTTTATTTGGCCTAAGAAGTTTTCATTCACATTGATGAGCTTCAAGATATGGATAAAATCATAAAAAGCAACAGAATTTCTTCTTCCTCTTAGTTTGATGTATGGTTTACTATATTTGGCTTGAAAGGAATGCTATGAAATTTGGGAATAATGTTAACTATCAAACCACTTTGTCTTGAAATCTCACTAATGCTATCCAGCTCAAATCTGCTCTTTGGTTGGTTTATTAGCATGTGTAGAAGGCACTCTTTCTTAAGATCGATTTCTTTGCTGGGCTTGAATGATGGAATATCTCTTTTTGGAATTGGCTTTGGCCGCTGGACAATGATAAATGGGATCTCTCCCCACCTATCATTTTATAGCCTTTGGAAAGCCCTCCGGCAACCGAGTATTATTCTTGCAGCAACTTTTTTTTTTCTTTTTTTTTTTTTTTGACACGAGGAAACACTGTCCAAAAGCCAATTAAAATCTCGGTCTACCTTGACAAACCACGCCAATTTACCCAAGCCGACAATTAAGGCTGGCACTACCGTCGAGAGGATTCGAACCCGGCACCTGGGCTTTGCCCAGCAATTCTCCACCACATGGACTAAGCAGCGGTGGGTCTTGCAGCAACCTCCTATATCTCATGGATGGTCTCCAGAGACCATCCAAGCAAGGCTGTTTTTGGGATGCCTTTCTTAATTTGTCCAACTTCTATGTTGAAGTATCGTTTTTATACATTCTCAGTTCAGCCCTTTTTTTCTCTTTTGATGTTCATATGATAATATAATCATATTCTTGTAGTAATGAATGGTCTGCCCTTAATTTATCCACAAAGAAGTAACTTCTCCTGGAGGAACGCTCACTTTTGAGTAAAAATATTTTGTATTAATATAGTATGAGTAGAATCTTAGGTGGGCCTGATTATTCGTATAGACTGGCCTTTCCTGGATAGAATTAAAGTAGCAATTTCACGATGAACTAAAGCCAACCCATTATGGGATCTTAAAGATCTTAAAAGTTTCTAATAAATACTGCCGCAAAATTTAAACGAAACAAAATTTTAAAAATTCAAGAGAACCACATTTCTTACTTTGAGCTTTCACGATATGCTAAACTTTAAAAATGATAAAAAAAAAGTACTCTTCTGATTTAAATATTTTAAATTTATTTAAATCTTATAATAATTAGAAACCAAAGAAAATCAAATTAATTTTCGATTTCATTTAGGACTAGAGCACAATAATCAATATATATATAATGCATTGTACAAATTACTATCATCACTATAAAAAATAACTAAATAAACATATCAAAATTTTAAGAAAACTTCATCAAAAACAGGAACTCTATCAGTACTTCGAAGTTTCGTAGAAAATCTTCACATTATCGGCTAGTAATTTGCGTGCAAATGCTCTTGGTGTTAATAACCTCTGTCGCTAAATAAGGCGAAACAAACTCAACATATCCAGCCTTCTCGAAAACAAGAATTTGCAAATGCTGCTTTAACTTTATTTGTTATTAATTATAGCTAATATTTTGAATTAAGAACAGCACACAACACAGAAACCGCATAAGCACACAATTACGAGTTCAAAACACAAAAATGAGTGCGGCATATCCAAACAATCAACGTCAAAAGTCAAAACAAAATTTCCAAAAGCAACATCAAATAAATATAAAGACGGGACGTACAACAACACAGGAGAGGTGAAAGATAATCATTCAGCATTTGATCTCCTTTAGTCCATAAGCAAAGTATAAGAATGTTGGATCAGTGGCACCTTCCTTGTAGTAAGCGAAGACCAAACCTCCATCATCATGCATGCTTTCACCCACGAAGCTGCCAAACGAAAATCAATATTTTGCACACAAATTGTCTCAAGACAATTATAGCAGAAAGTTTTAAGCAAGAAACATAGGATGTATTCAAATAAGCGCGTGCTTACAATTGCAAGTCGCTGAGCTTTGAAAGCAAAAATTTAGTGGCAGACTCGATATGTTTCTTGAATAAGTTTTGCTTCTCCGCGTCCAATTTGGGTGTTAGGTTCTTGATATAGCGTTTCATAAAGGTGACAAACTGCTTCTTATCGAAAGCAGGTTGCTCCTATTGAAATAAAGTGGACAGTTAAAAAACAAATATTGCAATTTTAGCTTTGAAGTTGAAGGGAAAACAGCTTAAGGCCTAAGGTATCAACCAAGAAAAACAAACCTGAAGACGGAAGGTGTCAACAATATCGACCACCTTAATAGCTTGGTCATCTACACCCTCACCTTCATCAGCGCCATCAGCTGAAAAAACTTGGATTCTATCACTCATTTGATACATCAACGCAAAATTTTCAAGTATCAAAGAATTAATATGTTAACATCATGGAATGAGCCTTGAAGCTGACCTCATTTGACTTGACTAATTCATCTTGTATGGCAACTCTGGCATTTCTGTACAGGACTGTGCTAGGAAGTGTGAGCGACTACTGTGCTCACCATGCACACTGCACTGTGATGATAATGAAGAAACCCAAGCACAAGAACTGATCTTTTTCATAGTGATGATGAACTGAGTTCCTACAATTTTAACTGATTGTTCTACTTGAAGAATACTTGAAGAATATAGAAACTATCTTGTTTTCAAATAATGTAAATCTAGTTTCTCCAGTATCTTATGTTATATCAAAATAATATGAAATGCTTGGATTTATCCAAGCATTTCTGCATGGAATGTTTAGGGTATGTTTGTTACTTTAATTTTAGTTGTGTTTAAGTTGTTTTCATTGTGCTATGTGAAATAAAATCATCATAATGCTTCATAATTTAATTCTTATAGGCTCATTAAGTAAAGATTATGTGCCAGTGATATGTAGGTACCAAAATGATAAAATTTTAAGCATACTTTTAGCAAAAATTATAGCTTTTCGAAAAAAAATAAAGTTGAAGAAAGAAAGAATCAAATGCTGATAGCTTTTTGGCTTTTTACGAAAAAAGAGTAGGTTATCATGTTCACAAAGTTAACTCCATCTGAAAGCAGCAGTAGGATTGCTTTTGAGAAAACTGAATAAAGGGAAATAAGGGAGAAGAACCATCAACATCAAGTCAGCACCCATTATAAAAAACCTTTGAAACCCTTCCACTATTTAAAATTTGTATTAAAAAGTAAGATCTTTCGCCATTATCAAAAGCATGTTGTATCTAATCATCTATGGACTCCGAAAATTCGCTCGCCAGACTCCACTCTTTTGGGGGAGTTTTCACGAATTAAGTTCCGGGATAAATTTTCAGAAGATAGATTGGGCTTGAAATAAGACACTACCGAAAGATTTCATCCTCATTTTGCGAGGACTTTATGATGTGAGTTTTGGTTTCCTAAAAGACGCAAGCCCTTATAGTTAATCACCCCTCTCGATAACGAGAGAGAACTTTCGAGTAAGGCTAATTGTCAAATATATACGTAGAGAAACGCAGTATCTGGTGTATAATAGCAGCATGGGTTGATATTTGAAATTTCACCATCTTACACTTAAAGCGAATGGTGGGGGAATGGATGATGGACACGATCAAGATCCCATGATTCTGTCGTCCCAGGTCATCATGGTCCCTAGTCTACTTAGTCAGAGGAGGTAGTTGAAACAACCTGACCGGAGGATCCTGTCAGCAGCCATAAATTGTTTCATCCAAGGGTACCTTGTATACATGGGATGAATATTTATCTACGGGGATAAATTGGAATCCACCTTAGCTAACATAAGATTTTGTGCCCTGTCGATTATATCCTATTGATTAATATATCAAGGATTTAATATCATTGGGGAGCATGCAGGCTCTGGTCATGACCGTAATTAGTGACGTCATTTAGCAGCAAACCACCCGATTCAAAGGGCCCTGGTCGTAACCGTTTACCTGCAGTGCCATTTGACGGCAAAACTACCGGTTAGAAGACACTTTCCACATCCTAGCTATCATGAGACTGTTTGAGAATGAATCCTATTGATATCCTCGACCAAATATTACCTCTTTGTGAGCTGAAGTGATATTTAAATTTGTCCACTTCAACAAACTATCGCGAAGGGTAGATGACGCTTTAAGTATTTGATAGTTGAATTTCGATTTTAAATATTATGAATTTTAGAATTTTGAATCTTCATAGGTATTTGGGAAGCATTTTAAGTATTTGAAAATCCTTCCGACTGAGATCTACGTTCAACAAGGCCATCATCGGGTTCTTTATGGGTTATTTCATTCATAAATTGAACCATGTCGACTCAATCGATTTGCTGACAGAGGATCGGGTTCATAGTAGGCTTTGTGCTTTTATTGGTGAATTTTCATTGATTATAGGCCTTGAAGGCCTAATATGGATATATTAAAACAAATATCTCAGTCGACGCCACGATCGTGTACTTGTTTGATAGTTTGAGCCGTGTTGCTTCCTATCTACTCAAATAGAAGAATCGGGCTCGATCTTGGGTTTATCATTTGACCCGTGCATGATGGTGCCAGCATCTCTTTGTTTTGGAATCCTTGGTGTGCTGGAAAAGGATTAGTTGGGCTATACCCTGAGTAATATGCTACTATTAACTCTCATTTGGAAGTCTTTCTTTCTAAATTTATTGGAAATGGTAAGTTGGTGAACTTGAATGGCTTTCCAGCTCACGTCTAATGCTATAAAGGAGGTGAAAATCTTTGTTGATATGCAAATGATGGCATTTTTTGGTATAAGCACCATGCCATCAAATATTGACTAGCTAAGATTGATGGGCTTAAAACTTCAGCTACCCTTGCATTTCCAATATTATTGTTGATATCAAATGCTCTTTCTGGTCTAGTGGTGTTGAGAATATCAACCTTCTTTTCTTTGAATGTGATTATACTTCTGAAATTCTTATAAGCATCATTCCTTTCCTTTGGCTTTTCCATTTCTTTTTAAGCCTAACCTTTCTCAAGTTTATATTCACATTGATATGAGCTTCAAGATATGGATAAAAAGCAAAAGAATTTCTTCTTCCTCTTAGTTTGATGCATTGTTCAAAATATTTGGCTTGAAAGGAATGCTATGAAATTTGGGAATAATTTTAACTATCAACCCACTTTGTCTCGAATTATAACTATCCGGCTCAAATCCGCTCTTTAGTTGGTTTATTAGCTTGTGTAGCAGGCACTCTTTCTTAAGATCAATTTCTTCGTTGGGCTTGAACGATGGAATATCTCTTTTTAAAAATTCAAGAGAGTCACATTTCTTACTTGAGCTCTCACGATATGCTAAACTTTAAAAATGAAAAAAAAAAAAAAAAACTCATCTGATTTAAATATTTTAAATTTATTTAAATCTTATAATAATTAGAAACCAAAGAAAATCAAATTAATTTTCGATTTCATTTAGGACTAGAGCACAATAAACAATTAAATAATATATATATATATATATATAATGCATTGTACAAATTACTATCATCACTATAAAAAATAACTAAATAAACATATCAATATTTTAAGAAAACTTCATAAAAAACAGGAACTCTATCAGTGCTTCGAAGTTTCGTAGAAAATCTTCACATTATCGGCTAGTAATTTGCGTGCAAATGCTCTTGTTTGGTGTTAATAACCTCTGTCGCTAAATAAGGCAAAACAAACTCCACAGATCCACTTACATAACTACACAAGGATTGTAATTTGATGGTTCATTCAACATCCAATAGACCGAGACATTTACAGCTAATTCCTAATCCAGCCTTCTCAAAAACAAGAATTTGCAAATGCTGCTTTAACTTTATTTGTTATTAATTATAGCAAATATTTTGAATTAAGAACAGCACAAACAACACAAAACCGCAAAAGCACACAATTACGAGTTTAAAAGACAAAAATGAGTGCATCATATCCAAACAATCGACGTCAAAAGTCAAAACAAAATTTCCAAAAGCAACATCAAATAAATATAAAGACGGGACCTACAACAACACAGGAGAGGTGAAAGACAATCATTCAGCATTTGATCTCCTTTAGTCCATAAGCAAAGTATAAGAATGTTGGATCAGTAGCACCTTCCTTGTAGTAGGCGAAGACCAAACCTCCATCATCATGCATGCTTTCACCCACGAAGCTGCCAAACGAAAATCAATATTTTGCACACAAATTGTCTCAAGACAATTATAGCAGAAAGTTTTAAGCAAGAAACATAGGATGTATTCAAATATGCGCGTGCTTACAATTGCAAGTCGCTGAGCTTTGAAAGCAGAAATTTAGTGGCAGACTCGATATGTTTCTTGAATAAGTTTTGCTTCTCCGCGTCCAATTTGGGTGTTAGGTTCTTGATATAGCGTTTCATAAAGGTGACAAACTGCTTCTTATCGAAAGCAGGTTGCTCCTATTGAAATAAAGTGGACAGTTAAAAAACAAATATTGCAATTTTAGCTTTGAAGTTGAAGGGAAAACAGCTTAAGGCCTAAGGTATCAACCAAGAAAAACAAACCTGAAGACGGAAGGTGTCAACAATATCGACCACCTTAATAGCTTGGTCATCTACACCCTCACCTTCATCAGCGCCATCAGCTGAAGGGTTTGCGCCAATATCAACAGTTATAGCACCTTGGACTACCCACTGCTCGAAATTGTCCATAAACGATAGTATAGTGAGTGATTCTAGGCTTGGCCAGAAAATTCCACGTAATCAAAGGCAAGCAAACAAATATGTAATAGATTGACAGATTAACCAATAAATCTTTTTCACACCTTTCCTTGAACTTCCAACAGCATGCCATTTTCAATTTCTGTAGCTGGGAATGAGTCTGACAGGAGCTCATCACCTGCAGAGTTTGAAAAATAAATTTCAATTAAGAATTCGGGTGAGAAAGAACAAAACAAAACAATTTGAAAACCGTTAAAAAAAAACTTCTAAAAAGGAAGAAACCAAAGCAAAGAGAAAAATAATGAAATATTAGTAAACAGGTACATCCGACTACGGAACCTTCGAGGGACACTTGGACTAAATCACTGGCTTGACAAGGAAAATACCCTTACGTTCAGATGGGTTGGTGTTGTTGTTCTAACATTATATATCATTCTTTTGATCAACTAATTAAAACAAGTTGTCTTAATTCGCAATATGATTGGTGTAGAAAATCACATTATCACAATAGTTAACATTAAATTAAATTCAAATTTACTCAAAATCCAATTGTTGTCTAAATTGAGAGATCAGCCGCATAATTCTCCCAATAATTTTTTGGTACTCATTACATAAATTTTAAATCAATAACATCACAGTTATATTGCTTATTAAGCTCGATGAAGTTTTATTTTAGCTAAGGGTGTACTTTTTTTAGGGAATAGTAAGTACTAAATCAAAATTGTGATGTAAACAAGTATTAGGATGCAAGAGTCGACAAAAACTATCAAGATCTTTATCAACTAAACCGATTGTACGTTTAACTTCCATTTCTTCATCATATCAAGTCTACACACCCAAATTTTGTCAACATCAAAATTTTGATGCAAACATGTCAGATATACACTTCCTCTTTCAACTTCCAAACAACCTAAATCTACAGAAATTCACCTAATCTTCATTAGATATTACACCAAGCGATTTTTTGACTTAATCATTTCTTAATTTATCCTTCATTTTGTCACATATTTATCTTAATATCTTTTTTTCTGTTAAACATCGTCTTTATTTTTAAATATTGTCTTCAAAATGCTTCTTCACTCATTTGTCATCTAATTAGTCTAAAAATTTCATTAAAAATATTTGCTAACCAAATCCCCCATAATTCTTAAAATTAGCAACTATAAATCCCCAATAATTCTTAAAATCTTAACAAATATATCATATGAACTAGATGTCTTACACTTATTCGCCTTCTTCAAAGCTAACTCAATTTCAATTTTTAATTTTAATAATTAATATATACTATACCTCATTAGTATTCATTATGATTTCAATAAAATCCCATTATCAAAATGGTATAAAATATTTATAGGATATCTTAGATTTAAATAAAATCCTATTATCTTTGCTTCTAATGTACATTTCTTGATCAAAGCATAGATCTGTCTTGTGCATTTTATAAATCTCCTTTAATCATCTCCTTAATACCAAGTCTATTATAAAATGAATATATTTAGATTTATTATTATCACTATTCTTAGCCTCAAAAGTGATCATTTGCATGTAGCTCGTTCATTTAAAGCTAATTTGGTTGCACGTAAATAGAAAAGACGTGACTTCATTTTTCACTATGAAAATTAAAAATTTAAATAATAAATAACGGGGTATTTTAACAATATTTGTAGAACTTAAAAACCATATTAATTTATAACTACATTCAACCCATTCTTAAAATTCAGTAAGCTCATTGTTTTTAAATACATGTTTCCTAACTCTAAGAAACGAAGCCCTTAGAACAAATTAAATTTAGTTGATCATAGCTAAGTTAATCAAAATTATGGCCAACCGACATCTTTTGTCAAGTTGTTCTGTTGTACGGAGTTGTTGGGTAATAGGTACAATATTCAACAACAATTAAGGCACGGTTAAGGCATGGGTTCTCACACATCACATAACAACGCACAAGGCTGAAATTCAATTGGTGCACTTCACCTAAATACTTGGCATACTAGGGTGGCATAGGGCACAATGGCTTCAAAACTTATATTAATTATACCACAAAAGAAGGTACATAGTGCAATCAATGAGGACATCAAGAGAGTTACTAAAGAAACAAAGTACTAGCTTTGGCATACCAATAATATTTTCTCATTTTTTCCATCATTCATATTCTTAAGACAGCCTTGCCAAGCAATATTCAATAGACTACCATTAAATTCCTCTTCAAAGATGCATGGTCTCTTCATGCCACAATGCGAATGATTACCTTTAGAATTTTATTCACACCGCCAAGATCCAATCACCTTCACTTATATCTCAACTATTTGTTTGCATATGTAACTGGATTTAACTAATAAATATTTGCTCTCAAATAATAAGTTGATGCAACTGCAGTAATGGTACTCATTACTTATTGCTAATATAGCATTTGTTCCATTTTTAACACAACGCTCGACAAATTCAAAAATTGTGAGCAAATTCCTATTCGTGATGATCGCTTATCTTAATACATTGAGGAATCCTTTGAATTCTTCAGCTCCACTTTTGAATTCTTCGGGTCTCCTTGAAATAAGTTATTTGTTCTGTTTTTAACGCACCACTCAACACATTGAGGACTCGTGTGCAATTTGCTAGTTGTGATGTTCATGTATCTCAATACTCAAACTCTACTTTGGAACACTTCAATTCTCCACATTTGAATTCTTCAACTCTCCTTATAATGCATACGTAACTATACTTCCATTATCTGCTTTCAAGTAATAAGTTGATGCAATTGCAATACCAGCGCCCACTACTTGATGCTTAGAATGTGTTTGTTCTATTTTTAAAACTACACTAGATAAATTAAAAAAAAATTGTGCAATTTTCTAGTTGTGCTGCTTAGGTATCTCAATCCTCAAACTCCACTTTTAATTCTTCAATCCTCCTTGTATATCATTGCACCTTATTTTTCTGATAATGGACCCCATGATACCACCACATTCCAACACTTTCTTACTCTCCAAGTCGAACTAAACAATGTTCTACCAATCAAGACTCCAAGATGACAAAGGAAATTGATCCTAATCAACAATCTTGAGTAAAATGTTCCATAAGTTCATTTTTTATAGAAATCTTTCTTCCGAGTCAATGTGTTTTTGCCTATTTCTTTAAAAGTGAATGGAAAGCTATGGATGTTAATCAATGATCAAGCAAACTACTTAAAAACTCCTCCATGTGTACTTCTATTTGCCCAACCATTATTCACTAGCTCATTCCACACATTTACAAATCTAATGGGGCAACAACTTGGTCCAAGCCGAATAATGTATCATCAAAAGTAAGGTACAGCCAATTTTCAATCTGAGCCAAAATAGCAAACTACCACTACAAGTTCTACAATTCTAGATGAATCAGCAGACTTTTATAATTCAGATGATGAAAAGAAACCAAAGAATCAGATGAATATGAAGAACTACAAAAAGCATGTGTGCATACCAAATATTATCTTTAAAAGTTATTGACACAACAATTTCAAGTTTCAATATTTGCTCTAAGATACCTGCTCAGGCCTTAATAGGAAGAATGTTGCACTATAATATTCACTAAAACAAAGCAAGCAATACTGAAATCTTCCACTCAATAAAAAACTTTTAAGTGTAAACAAAATGCGGCCACCACTGTCACCAAAGATCCTCCCATAAAATACCAAATATGGAACAATCCATCTAGAGGTTTACACAGAGTCAAACATACATCTGAGGATCCAAGAAGGGAATACATCAGGATTATCTCACTACAAAATTGTACCAGAATGAAAAGCAGCTGTGCTCAATGATTAGAACGTATACAGCTTCACAGTAAGACACAAATAGAACGGAAAAGATGGGCTCATAAGATTGCCATATATGAGCAAAAAAGTGATTATGTCAACCTAGATTCAACATTTTCCACATGCCACCCACCCCACCCCCCAACCCCCCAAGAGAAAAAAAAATTACCCTACACTTCTCATAATAGTTTAGACTTTACACAGTTCGATCCAAAAAGATCATCAGCTAACCCTAGATTAAGAAAACTACAACCACAACGTACAAGGACAGTGAAACTTCACGGCTAGATTTTTCGAGAAAATAAAGTTGACGTAAACCCTTGTATCGAAGAGATCTAGAAATTGCAAAAAAAGACCACGGAATTACAAAACAAATCAATAACGCCTTCTCAAAAAGCATCTAATCCTTCGACGCTCTTGCATATATCATACAAGTAGATATTTATTCAATAAACATCATATTGATCACAACGATCCATGCAGGATTCATGAACCAAAAAGACAAATCTCAAACCCCAGCTGATTAAAGTCAAGAAAAAACAAGCAAAACCGAAGAACTAGAACAATAAGTTTACCCGAGAGGATATCCTGGTAGACCAACATGGTTCTTTCGATGAATTTCCACGCAAATCCTAAATTTCTGAACAGCCGATGAGAGCAAAAAAGCTCTAGGGTTTATTAGGAGGCGCTAGAGCGAGAGAAGGAGACGACAGCAGTAGACCGGCTATATATAGTAGTACTAGTGCTTGACACCTCGGAGGATATGTCGTGCTCTCTTAAGACCGTCTGATCTCATCATCACGCAGGCTAATTAAAGCTAACAAGCCTAATTGTGCTGCAAATTAGCGTGTAAGGAAAGCTGATTGGAGAAATTTTAGGTTGGAATCTTTTTAATTAATATTTAATAAAAAGAATATTAATATTATTTTTTTATTTTAAGATGAATAAATTTTATATTTATTATTAAAATTAATTATATTTTATTTCATTTATGACTGAACCAAATTAAATTTTAATTTGATTTTATAAGTAATTTAATGATTTAGCTTTCTAACTATTAGAATCAAACAAATTGACTTTATTAACATGTAAATCAAATTAATTAATTAAATGTATATATATAGATATGTTTGTGCGCACTCTAAGTCTCTCATATAATTGTGTGGATATGAGAATTTCATCAAGATTTAAGCTCAAAATGATATAAATCAAGTACCTATAATTATAATTAGAAACTTACTAATATTTTGAAGGGAAAGGTGTAGAATATCATGTGAGTTTTGCTACTTATAAACAAAACAAGCTCCCACAAGCCCAATATATCTCAATTTCAAGTTCAGTTAAGGCATTGAGATGTTACAAAAATATTAAATGGTTGTGTGCGACTTTTGTGTATTATTTGATGGATTTCTACAAAATTTTGCGAAAAAATTATAATGAGCTCTCAAAAAATATACAAATATATCATTTATCTACTCATTAAGGACTAGCATCTAATATTCATCATTCATTAACATTTGATGCACATTTTTCTATTCACGTGATCTTGTCTCATATAAGGGGGGCGATTAAACTGATTCCCTAACGTCATTCTACTTATGATGTATCTAATTATTTATCACATAATGGAAATAGAAGACCAGCGATTGATAGCCATTAACGTCTAGTGTTCATTTTTTGTATCACCCAATCTCTCACCTAATAAGGAAATTGATTAAGCTAATTAATGATGCACCAAAACAAAGAACAATGATAAGATCACAAACTAAGGCCCGATCATTCGAATTTAGGTCAATTATCGTGCAAAACTTTCTATGCAAGCCCACGAACATCCCGTACTACTTTAAAAAGTATAGGATACTGATTGGTAGGCATGAGCGGAAGGAAGGAGGGGCAAGTTGGCACGTCCCTCAAGCTTAGACAAACATATCCAAACTCTTCATAACAACTACATAGCTCTACACATCTCTCATAACCTTCAACGGTATCAATCCTAATAACCTAATGCACCATAAGCAAAGTTTCAATATAGATGGTTAATTTTTTATTGTGTGCAAGCAAATTAAAAGTTTCATAACTTCTCAACCATTTATCCAATTTTTTTTATAAAAATATCATCATTAGTTCTCTAACATCACAAACAATTGATCTAAAGTTTCTCATTATTTTTACCCAAGGAAAACTCAACTTTTTTGAGCTAGCTCATAAGTTTCGGATTCAAATATGTCAAAAAATCTAAATTTTGGCTTCACCACCACCACCCAAATAATCATTTTATCACCACCCCAAGAGGACACCAATCATGTTGTCGCCTTCACTATGAAAATCCCCTTGATACTATATCATTTTGATATCAGAGCCAAGGGCTCCAAGGAATTCAAAGTCAAGGAGCTTGAAGGCATATATCATTTGTGGATGAATTAAGAAAAAAAATTCTGACGAGAACTGGTTTTTTTCAATATTTGAAGAATTTGAGGTACCTTGCAAAAGAAGATTTATTTTTCTTCAAGAAAAATTAGTATTGCTAACGTAGCTTTTAATTTTCTTAATTGGTAGTTTATTAAAAAAATAACTTGGAAAATTGCATGTTAGTTAGCAATACTATATGAATTTACTTTTTTTATGAGTTAATACCACCACCTAAAAGACCTAACCTAACCTTTGTATGATCGTCCATAACCAAAAAATTTTATTAACATAGCTTAAATAGAAAAGAGTGTGTTCCACAAATGAAAGTCTTTCCTTGAATTAGAATTAAGACAAGATAGGCTAAAAATTATATTTTTGTGATTGTCGTTTTAAATTTAAAATGCCTTGAGTATTTATTAATATTTGAAATGATTGCTAGCTTTGTGAAAATCATTAAAAAAAAAAAAACTTTCTTTGCATGCATTAGAATATATTGTGCTGAACAAGGTGTTTGTAAGGGACCTTATCAAAAAGATCTTTAGCCTCGATTTTACCAAGATTGTGTGCATATATTCTATCTTCCCTCTCTCAACCAAAACATTTCCCTCTCACTCTCTCATTCATTGTTTTAAAAAATAAAATATATAGTTACCACGCATTACATATCAATATGCAGCCCAAAGCTGCCACTATAAATCAACTCAAAAAACGTTAAAATAATGTAACTCTCATCAAACAATAAAATAAAAATTAGATGTTACTGATGAAAAGTTTGATATGTTTCAAACTATTCAAGGCCAACTACAAAATTTAAGCATTAAGCTTCACAGTCCAATTGAGCTTGAACCTAATGATCACCAACTTTGAAGATTTTCAATGCAACAACATCAACCTAAATATAACTTTAGGATTCCTAATGATCCTTGCTCCAAGATAAAGATTAAAGCCCTTACTATTGATAGCATTGGTAGTCCCAAAAAAAATTTAGATTGTTTGACCCAAATGGAAGATTTTATTGATTGGTATAATATAAATGATTATCAATGCACAAATTTTGTTAAGATGAAACTTATAGGACATGCTAAAATCTATTGGACCAACATCTTAGCCAAAGAACTTAGGAATGGTAAAAGCCACTGGACATGGGTTGAGATGAAAGAAAATTTAAAGACCAAATATTGTCATATGTTTCATTACAATTATCTACAAAGCCAACTATTGACTCTAAAATAAGGAACTATGTATGTTATTGACTATATGAATTCCTAAGAATCCCTCCTAGTCAGGATATATTGCACTGACCTTGATTACTAACTTGCAAATAATTTTGTCATTGGACTTCGGCCAGCAATCAAGAATGAAGTTGAGTTACATAATCCTCGGACTTTAAAAGATGCCTTTCACTTTGCTCTGATGATTGGAAAAAAAGTGGTTATCTTTTTAAAATATAAAATTTTCTCATATTCAACTTGCACATATTGGTCTACTACAAAACTACTAGCCTCGATGCCTACTAACTCTTCATCCACTAGTACTCACCAATTTAAAACTCCACTTGAACCCAACCATAAGAGAACCAATGATATTGTTTGTTTTAAATTTGATAAAAAGGGCCATATATCAAATAAATGCACTGCAAAAATCCTTTTTTTAAATGAGACCAAGTCCCTTTAACATGAAACTTATGAAGAATTTTTGGATGATGACCCTCTTACATAAAATGACGGTGAATTAGATTATACACTTCTGGTTGTTATGAGATGCCTTTTAGTAGCTAAGCATAATTCACAAGACTTGTGTTGACGTAATATTTTTCAATGATAGTCATTTGTAATGAAAAGAGATGTAAAGTGGTTATAGATAGTGAGAGTGCAATATATGTTATCTCTACCAGTGCCCTTCTTTAGACAAACCTAAACCTTGAACTCATCCCGAGGAATTTCGTGTAAGTTGGTTAATCAGACATCGTTATTTGTTACATCTAGATGCTTAGTTCTAATTAATATGAGTTTTTATAATGATTGAATTTTGGTGTCATGTTCTACCCATGGATAAATACTATAAGTCACACATCTTTCTTGTTTGTTCTCTTATAATTTATGTACAGGATTCTGAGTTTTTCTCTTTTGATTTGAGATCACAAGATCAACTTTGCATGACAACAAAATTCATAGTTGTTGACATAGCATCTCATGGATGAATTGAGTCAACTACCTTCATAGTTAAATGAATTTAAGCTTACACCCTCGAATGACAGGCCCATAAAGTACCAACTAAGATGATTTCTTCATTTTTGTTGACTCCTTACCATTTACTAATCACCCTTTTTTGCCTATCATACTCCTTTTTGTAGTCTTTAGTGATTCAATGAATATTATCATATAGGATTTTTATATAGTAAACTAGCCATCTCACTCGGTAAGTAACGCTTTATCTTGTGGATATACTCATTTAAAATATAGACCATACTATTAGGATAGCTGTTTTTTGAATTATTTTCTTTCAATGATGTTAATAAAAAAAAATCATGACAATGCATATTTTGTTGTTGATCTCATTTTTGTATGAGGTCATTAAGGATCCATCCAGATCCCAGACCAATCCAGACCTCAAATCAATCCTGACACTAATTCAAACCTGATCTCAATTCAATCTAACCCTTAATCAAAATCCAGACTTCAGTCCAGTTCAGAATCCGTCCAGTTCAGAATCCAAACTTCAGCCTATATCATACCTTTGATCTAACATCAATCTTATCCAATCAATTATGAGCATTTAAATGATCATGAAGGATTTAGATAATTCAAATCCAATCAATCAAGCTCAAAATCCAGACCAAATCCAAAAAACCTGGTTGAACATTGGTTGGAGATGATATCTGTACAGGATGGTGGGCCGACGGGCTTTCCTTTAAATCATAGATCATGGATCATGGATATAACGATGGGAGTCATAAGGAGATTATATGCCGACGGGCGGCCGACGGGCAATAGAGTGACGACTCTTTTCATAGAACCAATGTATTGATATCTACAACAGCAATATGAATTCTACAACAGCAACATGACCATTGATTATACATTGTTCAGTATTATCGTATTGATTGCATGTTTAATGTATTGATTTACGGATTTTACGGATTTGATCGGGTTTACTGTATCGTACGATTTCACTGATTTCATCGATTGACTACTGAACATTGATACTACTGAGCATTGATATGGACATTGATAGATATAGATACTGTATTGATAGCATGAACATGGACATCGTACTACTGCCTACTGTTTCTGTACCGTATTGACTGTCGTATAGATTCAT